GAGAGTGTGTACAGTGTTTAAACGTCGACTACTAAAGGCGAAATTGCTCTACAGCTGTGAAGCAGTGGTTTTCGTTCACTGCTCGTTTCCATTCAACGGAAATTTATCGTCGCGATTTCGACTCACAATCGTGAAAAGGGCATGAATGCGATCGTTGTCGAAGCGTTGCTTCGAAGGGAAAGGGATAAAACGTCTTTGGGAATGCAACAAGTCCGCGAGATGCCTTCTTCTTCTTCTTCTCATTATTCTTTTGTGTCGTTGGAACTTGGCCAAAGATGACCCCCTTGACAACCACTCTCGTTTTGCTTTTGACTTCTTTAGTATTATGTATTCTTTTCTCTAAGATTTTCTTGGCAGCGCTTGATTATCAGTTTAGCGCTCGTGATAATTGCAGATTGCATCTCTCGCGAAATCTATTAGGTCTTGTCGAGATCTAAAACCTCTAGTATCAAATCAAATAGCACCTAATCGAATAAAATAGTATTAGAAACTATAGTAGAAATAGTATTAGAATGTATCGCTAACTCGCTAACTCAAAAATGTGACAAAAATGTAACATTTAACATTGTGTCGATGACAATATTGCCTATAAGTTTATGTTTTTGATTTAGAAGCAGTAAAAATGAAAAGAACATCAGCGATTATGTTATGTCTTAAGATGAACTAGGCATTATAATAAAATTTTTAAAACTATTTCAATTTTTCTCATAACAAATTTCTGTCATATTTTAATTTATTTAATAAAATACTATCGTCGTACTTTTCTCGCGTTTTTAAATTGAATCAAATCCAAAATCTTTTCCTGAAGATGTTCGCTTGCCTAACTATATTCTTGATCTGGAAGTTCTAAATCTATATGAAATAATTTTTTAATTAATAAAAGTTGAATATAGAGATGACAATTTTTATTGTCGAGGAAGATATTAATAAGGACAAAGCTATTTGAGAGATATCTATTAATGTTGTCTATTAATGACGCAAATCTTTTTTCAAATGTTTTTAATATTTTACGCGCGAATCTGAAATAAAATTAGAAGATTCATTATTTAACTCTTCATTATAAAATAAAGCTTTTCGATTAAAAAGTGAATTCTCAATATTCATGTAAATCTTCCTTATAACTTGTGGATCATTCTCATGATCTTGTGGCACGCTAATTGCAATAAGAAATCCTCGCGTTTGACAATGTGTTATTAAGTGGCACGGCTTACCAAAAGCCGCTTACATGCGTAGAGCGGCTTTGGAAAGCTGCCGTGCTCACTTCACTGCTTTCGATTGCTTCGAGATTGCAGATTTCAAAGGGCTTCATTCGCACTTCTGGTTCACCGTAATGATCAGCTATCTAAATTCGCGAAGCGTTCAATTTCGATCGTATTCTGCGAGATTTCTCAGCATTTTATTCACGATGCAATTTACATTAGTAACGAAATCGATCCGTAAATTTTATTTTCTCCTCTTTTTATTCGATATAAAATTAATTTAAATTTAATTTATTTATATGTTAGTTGATGTCTCCTAATAATATATAGAAATAATTTCTATATTTTCCTTATCATCCCTCAAATCAATATTCATATAAATGGATATAATAATGATTTCGAATCATGCATTGCACGATAATGATCGATCTGATACGTATTAATATAATAACATAACAGTAATATAATATTAATATCAATCGCTGACGAAAGATGTTCATCATTAATCATTAATTTTGATGTAAATGTCTGCAGTTACAAATGATTTAACGATGCGTGATAAATTTCTTTCCGTTTTTTATGCCTCTTTTAATAATCCAAAACGCCTAAGATATATTTGCTATATAGTTGATACTTATTATCGAATTTTAATTAACATAATATTTTAGCCGCCGATTTAAATTACTCGAATCTTATAATCAATACAATACATCTAAAGTTACATAGAGTTTCCTACCGAACTTAACGATGGAGTTAAGTTGTTAACAACTCGCGGCGAGCATTATCGACTCCTCCATTTGAGATCGAGGGCTAAGAGTCACGCTTGACCTGGGTTAGGTTACCACGGCTGCTTTCGCTGAGTACACCATCGACATTCGTAATCGCGAGAGCGATATTATATCATCGACCTATCCCAACGTACGTGTGTCAGTCCAAACACGAGGGAGTCATCTATTATTCCGCACGAAGGATTCTGCAATCATTTGTGTGAATTAGTGTTCCTGGGAATTACATCCGTGGAGTCTCATTGATCGTCATTAAAGAACGCTATTTTAATTTTGCAAGCGACGCGACTGTAATCTGAATTTAATGCTTATAGCTCTCACGTAATTATCTGCATCGCGGATATGATATAGAAATTATTTCTCAATAAAAATGATCAAAGACGCGATAGATATAATATATACACATAGATCTTAGGAATCCCAAATCTGGTATTAAGTCTCTAACAATGCAAGATAATTTTACTCAATATGACCTATCTAAGCGATTTTTTTGCTAACGTAAGTTCAACATTGAAATCGGGTAGTCAGATTCAAAATAAGAAATTCTGAAAATTAATTGAATAAAAATCAGATATATTAGGCGTAATTACTATATTACGAAATTCTGTTTTATTTTGAATTCTAACGATATTCTTCAAAGAAAATATTAATTAAAGAGATGCAAAAAATATATAAAATATAATCATAAAAATATTGCCTGAATTTTTCAACCCTTCAAGAAAGTAGCTCAACTGAAATGTTGGGAAAAAATATAGTACTAAGATTTTATAAACGCATCTCTTCTAGTCTTCGTCCATCTTCCTGATTTCGTAATCTGGAGAAAAAGCATTTTACTTATCCTCGAGGTTACTTTTAATGCGAAGCTACGAAAGAAATACGTGTTCTAGATGTTTCTTTATTTCGCAATTTTAGTGACTCGTGCCGCGACTCCAAAGGTATCGTCGTACAAAGTCGTGCTCGCGAAACTTTTGAATAGCGGAAAAGCGACATCAGTCAATATCACTATAACGTGTAAAGAACTTTCAATCCCTTTTACATAATAATAAACATGCAATGAGAATCGCATGAGCCAAATCATTGCAAACATACTTGTTAATACTACACATCTTGTGTCGAAACTTTGATCTCGTATATTTGTTGCACTTTGATACCCATTAACTTAATTGACAACTTTAGGAAAATTGCAAACGAACAAGCTACCTGAATCTTTATATAACCGAAGAAACTTTCTATTGTCAAGTATTTGTAATTATACTTTAAATTTTTAATAATAAAATTATTTAAGAGATAGATTTATAGATGCTAGAAATTTACACTCTGATTATTAACATTGCACTAAGAAAGGCATGAGATATCAAAATAACTATAAAAATATTTATATGCCAGATTATTTACGATTACATAGAATATATGGGATTGAAAAGACAAACTGGTATTTTTATATACCTTTTATTTTTTATCATGACTTATCCATCTTACAAATTTCAACAATTTCACAACAATTTAGTATGATGCGTTTTTTTCTGTGCAATTTTAATAGCCAATAATGTATAAGTGAGATAGAGTAAGTAAAAGAGCAAATTTTACTCCTTAATTTTAGCTCGAAAACGACAGTCCAAAACGAACAAAAACGACTGCATGAAAACTTACTTATTTCAAGATTACAGTGAAGTTCAATACACTTATTGCATAGAAAATTGATCGCGATTAATACGGAGAAGTTAAATATAGGTACATCGTGAACAAATTTATCTCTACATGGAGTAAATCTAGAAATTGATTATTTGTTTCTTCATCGAATAGAAATAGAACATAGAATTATCGTATGAGAGATATAGCATGCAAAATACAAACAAAGTATAGATAGGAAGTGCGTTCAAATTTTAATAATTTTATTAATCTTGCGATATCTTTCATATTTCTTTTAGTTTTTGTTATCTCGCATATGTGTTCTGTTATTTGTTCGCAGGCAAAATTCCGCGTGATGGTGGAGGAGAACGCAGCAACCGGCGCCCGGCTGGATGGCGAGCTGGAACGCGCTAGGGGCGAGTGCGCCATACTTCGGGGTGAATTACGCGACGTTCGTGGCGCCTTACCAATCGTACTGAATAATAATAACGCCGGCAATGGCAACTCTAACAGTAACAACAATTCTGGTACAGCAGCCAGTGTTTCCAGTGGCAATGCGAATCCCGGCCAGGAAGGCGAGGCTCAACAACAAGCACAACAGGAAGATGGCAAACGGCTTAGCGCTGGCAGCAGCCCCATTGAGAAGAGAAGCTCGGCCAGTGATAAATCCGCCAGTCCCATCGACAAACGGACTAGCCCGGTAGACAGGAAAGATAGAACCAGCCCTATCGAGCGGCGAGCCAGTCCCGTAGGTCTGTAACAAAACAAATTTTTTATATTTTTTATATTTCATTATTTTTTTTATTCAACTTTCTGTGAACCTTAATTCAATAAACTTTTATTCTCGTTCAATTTTCATGAAACAAGAAATTTAACTATATCTCGACTTAATGGATCTTGCTTTAAATTATTATCTCTGCTCATATTTGTGTTTATTATTGCGTAATTTAATATTAAAGTAATTAGTGTAATTATACAATAAAATAAGATATTTATATGATGAATTTTATAACTTCATAAATTGTTGCATCCTATTCTGCTACACAATATACAATTTTTAATTTGAAATATAATTAAGTGCACACGTGCCAGTGAATATTTAAAATCGATTTTTCCGAAAATGAAAGCTTACATGAAAAAATTTTATTCTATTCTTTGTATCACCAGTTATAAAACATTCTGTATATCCCATTTAAAAGTCATAATATTTGAACAAGTACTGAGAGCGAATAGCCAGCTCAAAGTGCGATTAATAATATAAGAAACCGTTGGTTTTAAATAAAAAAATATTTTCGTACCATACTTTCATTGAAGGAAACAAGATCTTAGAAGAACTTCATAGGTTGAATGTTGAAAGTTTATTTCGTGCCAAAGTATTTTCATAAAGACAGCACGAGTACGGAAATGCATTTAAGCTGCAGGGCAGAAGTTATCGACTTCGCACAAGCACTTCAGCGGATAAGACTTTTTAAGAAGTTCGCAAGAATGAAATTTTAAGACGGTGTGGCGCGAATGTTTTTCGTATTTCCACGTTTATCTTAACTTCTCTGGCGAGTTATCCTATATATTTCAGTTACGTTTGTTACGCTGTTGTTTTTATGACCGACCATGATTCATAGTTTTCTCCGCAGCTTGAATTCAGGATTGCCGTATTTAAACTACTTATTGCAACTCATAAGAGCTGAGTTCTTTATTAGGTTGCAGTAGTTATATCGTGGAATATAAAGTTTGCGTCATTTTATCTGTTTCTATTTATTTGCAATTTTCGTCCTTTTTAACACATTTATCCATTCTGAATAATGTTGGATATTAATTCGTCGCAGGGCTAATATTTTAAAAAATACATTTTCTATCAAGATTAAATCTCAAAAATTTAAACTGCATGGCGCTAAATGTAGGCGAGATTATACTTGGGGACATGTTGTATCATGAGACTTTCTAATTACTTTTTTGACGTTGTCAGCTTAGTTATATCATATATCATTTAGTTGCAAACTAATATAACTGAGTAACCAACGTTAAAAATCTCGTTATTATTAAAAAAATAATTATGTTCCTAGATACCACAGTCTCGCTTATACTGTGTTTGACACAAGAAATGTGTTAATGGGTTCATGAAACCTATTTACAGAAGATCAAAGATAAAGAGTGTACATTAATATACTCGTATATTATACAACTCTTGTCCACTCTTTGACTCTCTCTCTCTCTCTCTCTCTCTCTCTCTCTCTCTCTCTCTCTCTCCTCTCCCCCCTTTCCTTCTTCCCTCCAATCCCTTCTCTCTTGTAGAGGAGAGATACGAACATACTCGCTAAAGAAGAGTGGACCCCCGTGTGTAGATGCAAATTCGGGATGAATGCATTCGAAGCACTCATCGTATCGATCATGCGCTTCACGTAGAGGTATTCATCGTCGAGATCGCTGGTTGAATCCATCTTATCGAGCACACTGCATCCGTCTCGGATTGGACGCATGTTCCTATAAAGGCTTCATTCCAGCGATTTCTTCGTGCGCCAATATAAGTCGTTCTCCGTCCTACTCCGTGCTACTTCTTTCCTCATTCTAGCCCAATACATTCGAGTGCGATCGTTCACGAGTTGAGTTTTGTGTCTATCAAGAATCATATTACATCATTTAAGAACGATAATTAATGTGACTTTTAAATAAATGCGATTAGATTATGTTGTGTTAAATTTGTTGCACGCTGAATTTATTTAATTTATGATTTAAATTACATATTTATTGCAAATAGGCAGCCATTGTAAATCTATTAACTAGCTAATTGAATAAAACACGCCGAAATCAAATGTAGAAATGCTAATTCAAATAATACGGTTCATGTAATTGGCATAAATTTGATATGTTTTAACTTGGAAGATCAAATTTCGTACAATTATTCTAAATAAGAGAAAATTTTAATATATGCATATAAATTTAGAAAATAGAAATTCTTTTCTATCGTGATGTTTTATCTGTATTTATTTAAACATATTTGAGTTTTTCTTGACATTTTTTCTCTTTCTTTCTTATTTATTCAAAAAAGTTTGAAGAATTGTCCTATTTTCATTATTAGAACGAAGAAATGGATCGCCCTGCCGAAGTCCGAGCGAGAAAGCTCGCCGACCGTATGCCCCTGCTTTGGAGAAAACGCGGCTGGGATCCGGAGGTAGTGTGGATTCTCGATCGGGTAGCGCCAGCCCGGATCGGGGATCGGCGAACCGAAGCGGCTTCCTGCATCGTGGTGGCAGCGATCGTTCCAGCGTGGAACGGCTCCGGATATCGACTAACCGCGACTCCTTGCGATCCAACAAGGAGATGAATGACCATGATCAAAAGGATATTGATAAGGATCTTGTGGATGGTGATGTGCGAGGCGATGAGGACAATGAACCTCCTGGACCAGCACCTGGCAGCAGACCATCATCTCCAGCTAATTCCCTCGGTACGTCAATAAACTCGGCATTTAATTAATAATGGTCGATCAATCGATTTATCTTTCTTTATCCAATCTTGCCTTTTGAACAAAAACACAATGTCTCAATTGTCTCAATAGTTATTATTCTTTGTACTGAGAAAATGCGATGAATCTTAGAGTGTTATATCATTCCAATATATGTATCTATATCATAAAAAATGAAAGCTACATTGTGAATTTGAATTATGCCTTTGAAAATTAATATAAGTGTCACACAATAATTTATGTTAAAAAAATAATACAAAATTATTTTGACATTTTATTTTATTTCTTTGCTTCATTACGAATATGCGAAATCTTCTCATATTTCTTTAAATTTATATTTATATGAATTTTATATATGTAAATTTATATTTTATTATACATTCATATTTTATTATATTTTATTTATATTTTATATTATTTAATTATTTAATTTATATTTTATTATTTTTTATTATTTTATATTCTGTTAAAGATAGGATTAACGAATTTTTCACGCACG